GTGTGTGTGTGTGTGTCCGATGGAGACACAAAGATGGAGAAATGGAGTGTTCGGTGTTAAGTGCACGTGAGCGGGCGTGTGTCGTAGTGTGTAAATAGTCAATAATAGCTGACACTTGTCAGCCCTCTCCTCAATACACACAAAGCCTGTGGTTGGGGCACTGTTGTACTCCGCCTCTCATCACTGCGATACCCCCCCCCCCCCACCACCCCCTAAAACTGGCCTCTCAAGCAGATATAATGATGCCTATTGTGGCCCTCGCACACACGCGCGCACACGCACTTGTTTGTGCTAATTAACACACTCTTCCACGTGCCTACTCAACCTAACCGAGTAAAAGATGGCTGCCAGCAGCCCATCTGTTCCTGCCTTGCTCGCACTCTCACCGAGGCAAATGGGACAAAATTATACATCCAAATGAGAAGGAAGCACACATAGAGGCAAACAAACTGCAAAACGCCGGTCTACAGTGGTATGCTAAGTGCAACATTAGGGCATACAATCTGACGCCATCTTGCAATTTTATTCGTTGCATGGAGGTTTTCTTGCATGTTTGTGGACATGATATCAGTCGCATGATGTACCCCCCCCGCCTTTACAAACCTCCTGCTGTGTGCCACATGGGGCAGCCGAGGCAGGAGTATTGGATGAGCGAGGAAACGTGATATCACTGAGGAGTTTGGAGGGGGCTGGGGGGGGGGACAGTCCATGAGGTTGTGTCCCATGAGCCCTGGGGAGGCTCATGTGCTCCCCAGCCGCCTCCATCACACCTTGTCCCGCATCATGGTGAGCGGAGCACTACAGGACCACCACCGCACAGGGCGATCGCAGACTTAATGTACCCCAAGTTAATGTTTAATGACTTCTCCCTATTCGGGTAGATTCATGTAAAATCTGGAAATGGCTTTATTGTGTTACGTGTGTGTGTGTGTGTGTGTGTGTGTGTGTGTTGGTGGGGGGGGGGGGTTGCTTGTACATATCTACTCCCTAGTAGCGAATGCATTTGTAAGACCAGTGTTTACATGAGTAAGTGGGGTCCCAGACAAGTGTTTCTATTAATGTATTCCTTGCACAGATTTACAGACAGACAATGTTTGAGTGTTTGCGTTTGTGTTGTAAGTGGAGCATTTGTCAAGAAAGCAATTGAACAAATAGCGTGAAACAACAGTCCGATCGTGTTCTTGATTTTAAAACATAGGTGAACATTACATGACTTTAAAAAAAAAAAAAAAAAGGGGGGGGTTAATTTTGCCAAGCTGCAAATATACATTGTGGAACTAAACGTGCAAAGTCAGCCGATTGACAGCGGTATCAAAGTTGTGGCGATTTAAATATTTGAACCCGGATTGATTACGTGACATCGAGTGTGGATCATCATCAAACTGACTCTGCAAAACTAATCAGTTGAAATTTGTTATTGAGAGTTGCTGAGCTTGCAAATTGAGTGTCATGGCAATACCCAACCCTGTGACCGCCCAGTGTGTGCGTGTGTGTTTTGAACCGCCTGACTTCCAAAGAGGACGCCAGGGGCAGGGAATTGATCAGTAACATAGCCTGTAAATAACCTTGCCACTCAGCGACACCCATTAACATCCACGCTCGTAAGTATTATTAGCTTCTACAATATTCGTAGTAAACAACGTCAGAAAAGAAAACGCCTCTAATCCCGCCCATTTAGCAGCCTCTATGAATGAAAACATCATTTACGGTTGAGATTTAGGATGACATTTGTGAAGGGCAAAATGGGGTTCATAAAAACACACATGCAAAAGCAACAAAAAATAAAAAGCCTTTTTTTTCCCTATTTCTGGTCTTAAAACAGGTTTACCCATTCCACTACTGTGTGTGTATGAAATGACTGCGGCAGTAAACAAAGGCAAACTGCGCGGCAGGTGGATTAGATGAAGCATAGTTGGGCATCTTCCGTGGGCCATCCATGTGGCCGCAGCCATCTGCCGGTCCAGTCTGGATGCATCGGAGCCACTCATTAGCTCGCTGCTGGTTACTTTGACAGCTTAAATCTGTGCTCATGGGGTGTTTTTATTCATTTATTTATTTTTTTTTAATGCCCATCCACAAACTTTTCATCTCTCTGTCACTACTCCAACTCTCCTCCTTCAGATCACTACTCCAATTTGCCGTCCCCTATTTTCTCACGTGGGCGCAAACACACTTGCACAAGACTTCACACCACGGGGATGGTACCGGGGAACTAGGTCAGTCTGCCTGTACCCCCTCCCCTCTTCAAACCCCCTTAAAATGTTCTGGCTGGACAGGAAAGTGGGACACGCGCACACACATATTAATATACCGACACACACACACACACACACACACACACACACACACACACACACACAAACAGATGGGGAACATGTGCGACTGTCAGAATGGAACCGGTTGGGCTTCAGAGGGCAAGGCCGCATGGTGTTATGTCATCAACTCAATGGTGGACCAATATGGGGTCGTGCTGCTGATGTGCATCTGAAGGCCTCTGCTCATGCCACAGGTAGCAACACAAGACTTGGATTTAGCATCTCATTTTATATGTAAATACGTCAGCCAATTTTGACAGTACATAGGCTCGTCTGACGTGAATCCAATTGTACTTATATTGCGCTAAATCACAACCGAAGTTTTTCGTTTACATCAAAGTGAATTTGGAGTTGTGCAACTTCACACTTTGTGCCGCAGCATGCTAATAAGCACTGAGCTCAATCAAATTATATGCCCTACGATAGAGCGCAAGAAGAAGAGGCAGAGAAGGTCCCCTAATCTGCTGTGATAGTTAATTTAGCCACAGAGCAAGGAAATCTATGCCAGTGAGTAATGCTGTATACTGTTTTTATTGATGTCACGCCAATGATGTTTTTCACTGTACAGCACACGAATTTTAGCATGAAACTAGCAGACTTACTGGATATCATTTGATTAAACATTTTCGTGTGTAAGTACACAAGGTTAAATTCTCTTTTGTTTTACGCGTCGGTGCACCTTGGAGTGACACACAACTTGAAGCAAGCCTGATTTGCCTCCTATTTGGAGAAGTGTGCAAACCGGCGCTCTCTTAAGGTCTTCAAAGTAATGTGACAGACAGAGTGAAGGAGCACAGGCGTTCAGGAATACTTTTAAGTGTGCGTTAATAAATTGTGGCTGGTAAAATGATTAAGAAAACGTGTTTTCTATTTAAGACATTCAAATGTTTCGAGAGATTTTCACCTATCGTGGGTGGGTCTGAAACGTAGACCTGCGATAAATGGGGGTTCACACAGATGTGAAAGGTCCCCCATCTTTCACATCTGTGTGACAGGGGGACAGTTCATTCGCGACCCACACCCATTGACATCCTCAACCACTCAAAGACAGCGACAGCTACCTTGGGTGAGTAGAAGGAACAATATTTTGGACTCGAATAGAAAACCTAAGGGTGCACGTGTACACTTGTAGCTATATCAATTGAACCTTTTTGGCACAAGAAAGACAGACAGTCCTCCTGTGTTTCAATTGGATTTTTCACACGTGCAGATACTAGAAAGTAACGTTAATGTGACCTAAACATTAGCTAAAGAGTCCTCAACAAATCCTTCCAATCCAATCCAAAATGTTTATGTAGTTCCCTGAAAGCGAGAATATTTCAGCATTGTTTTTCCAGCTGACAGGTGACTGCGTTTATCTGCCGCATGGATTTCACGTTTGATCAGCATACGCAGATAAAGGGGGTCAAGGTTGAGGCCTTGTAGCGTTTGCGCATTCTACTGCTCGTACAGAGGCCAGCGCCGAGTTCAATGAGCAGCTCATCATGTTCAGCATCTGATCTTCACACTCACTGCTCATCAAGTGACCTATATACCCATACGCGCAGCAGCCTTGTGACGCGACGCCCAGCCAAACGAACCAAACGCGGAAAAGCATCAACGTGCACAACAAAGTCTTGTGTTTCATAATCAGATCAGTTGTTATCAAGATGTGTGTCAAATCAAACTAATGAAGTCAACCAAACATGTCGTCACATCCTTGGAAAGGTTAAAAGCAGAAAAAAAAATACACCATCAGAGCTAATTCTACATAAAGCTGCATATGTACAAAATAATGATTTTGCTATTGAATGAAAACTGTTGGTCTGCACATCTACTGCTAAACAAAAGCCTGATGCCTGTTTATGAGACATAATGTTGGACTTTGCATACATAAGACATAAAAAACACCATCTGCCGGAACCTGAGGCCATGCTTGCCCTACTACCCTCTTTGCTTCATTTTCCTTCCCTCATAGCTCTTCAATATTGGAGATACACATATTGTAGACCCACGAATTGTTCACGAGCTATGATATGCAGCAAATCTTACTCTTTTGAGTACAGGAAAGTACTCGTATGCGTGGCGTCCGGCAAGCAAACCACCGGAAACGCACAAGCAACGACATGGAGAAATTCAGACATAGCACAGAACCACACTTTTGGAAGAAACCGACTGCTATATTAGTGTAGGGAGTAAGATGAATATCATGTGTTTTGTGGATGGTAGAAAGTAAGAAGCGGAAATGACGCTTCCTTTCTTCAAGGGCATAATAGTAAGACCAAGAAGACAACCACAGGGTAGTTGTTTCAACTCGCCAGGGAATGTCATTTACAGTTAACGTCACAATTTGACATTTGTATCGTATGTAATGAGATGTAAACGTTAGCGGTAACCGAGAAAAACAAAGGTCCGCCCAAAAGGAGGGCAAAGACGAGGCCGAGTAAGGGAGGGGTTCGAGCTGGAAGGAGGTGGAAGGCCAGGTCAGTCATCCAGAACAGTGAGCAGACAGAAGACACAAAAGTCAACATACGTCAACTGTCACGCACCAACACAACCTCGATAAAAACCAAACCGCTTCCGAAAATGACACGCAAAACATCCGCCAGCAGTTCAGCTTGGATTAAAAAAAATAAAATGAAAATGACACGCAAAACATCCGCCAGCAGTTCAGCCTGGATTTAAAAAAAAAAAGCGATGTCTTACCTGGAACGATAGAAACCGTGTCTCTCTCCCAGGATACGACACTGACATACTCCTGCACGGCTGTGGGGATGAGGCACTTGAACACAGCTACGTTGCCCCGCATCGAGCGCTGGTCCGCCACCCGCACAGTGTAGGGCTCCCTGAAAACTACACACGCACAAATAGACTCACAATACCGTATGTGGGTTACCTTAAACTATGCCAATATCAATCGAGTGATGCTCCCTTGAGAGTGCGACTGTAAAGTGAAAGGGAACGTAACACAAACTAAATGCAGAACAGAACTAGTCCACGGAGGACTTAGATAGATACCGTGGCTCGCTCTGTCGCTAGACTGAAAAAAAGCTGTGTTGATTTATTCAATTTCGTTTCCTCAAGCGGTTGCACACAATAAAATATTGTTTAAGTAGACTCTACATCTATTTTAAAAATGAGCTGGATCCATGTGATTTCATTGTGTGCAACCACCTGATGAAATACAATTGAGTAATACCAGCACACCATTTTTTTTTCAGTGCACTCGATCCAGCTGGAACGAAACGGAAAGCTTCTTCCATTGTTGAGGACCTTGCCATCCGACCAAAGCGTGTTTCAAGAATACGGCAGCCCAATATTTATCCTGCTTCCAAAACTAAAATAAGGACCGACTTGTGCTTACATCATTAAAGACGCCCCATGAACACCCCAGAGCTCTTTCATCAATTACCACAGCACGCCGTATATCCTGCGGAATTTATTGGCCCGTTCTTGAGCTTTGTTTGAATGGGTCTCATCCTGTGTTTGCGCTTGACATTAACAGAGCTATCTTGCATGAAACAAGATAATCACTGGATGTTATTTTTCAGCAATGCCATGTTATCATGATGTATATACAGAACCTCATAAAGATCAGAAATACTGGGTGAAAAAAAAGCCAGTATCCGTTTTTGCAAGCTGTTTTTTTCCCCCTGCAATGATGATGAATGAGCTTCATTAGCTAAACCAAAAAATGTCAACCTCGTCTGCAACCTGTTCGAGAGTTGCCAGGGCCCAACAGAGGCCGCTGGCTTCGGGATGTTTGGTTCACGCTAATCCCTTGTCTCCTGCAGCCAGGCTTTTGGGTCATGTGGGAATGAAGGCAACACCCGGCTGGCATGCAGCTCAGGGCCCTGGCTCAAATCCGCAACTTGACGCCAGTATTAGTATTAGAATGAATATGAGTATTAGTTCTGGTTGGTGTTGGGAGGCAGAATATGAAAGCAGATGTGGATGGCGGGAGGGAAGGGGGGAGGAACCGACTGGCCCGAATGAACTACAGAGAACAGACGCAGTGCAACTACTATGTCATCCAGATTTACTCTGCCGGTGATTTGAGGTTACTATTTGTCGAGTAATTTCAGTGGCTTCTCCGTGAAGCTCGATCGCTCTACGGCCGGAGGACTACCTCCCCCCAAACGTGCTATTTTACAAGAGATGAGGTCTGACTTATTAAAGCGGCATTACGCCGTCTAATCAATGAAAAGCACCAATTAGGGTTGTTAATGAGAGATAATTAAAGAAGTGTGCTGTGGCTATATTTAGTTTGACACGGGAGGGTACTTTGGAGAACTCAGGCAGAGAGGAAGGATTGAAGAGGGAATAAATGACAGCACAGACGCAGCTTTTGGTCAGATTTTCCAAAAATAGAAAATTTCCTATCTCTGCCCAGTGAATCACTGTGCAAACGGCAATAACTCTTTGTCGCAAAGACCAAATGCAAAACAGTTCTCTTTTTGCTAATCCAGTGGCAGTTCACACTCAAATCTCACGTGACACTTTTTCTATGCCACTGATGATTTCTAATCGGTATAAAGGGATGTGGTTCGGTCAAATATCTGTGCTTTGTTTAGTATGGTCTTGGTCAGGGGTGTCCAAATCCGGTCCTTGGAGGCAACTATCCTGCATGTTTTGCAAGTGTCCTTCTTCTATGATCGACTCAAAAGCAAACTCTGTATCGGAAGAGGGAAACTCGTAAAACACGCAAGAGAGTGGCCCTCGAGGACCGAATTTGGACAACCCTGTTCTAGGTCAATCTGCATTTGGGGTCAGACAGACTATTTTGGGTGCAGGTGATCCTCCGAGTGTGCTGATCTTTTTTTTTTTCTCCCCGCTGCCAATCACATCTGCTCTACTCATTATGCAAAGTCTCATTTTGACCTTTGGGCTGATTTTTCTCCTCCGTCATGCAGATTCTCAGATACTTTGTTTTATGACTCATCGAGCTGACCGACTCACCAGCTTTAATGCGGATGTTGGGGCTGCGGATTTTGCCCGCCTGGTTCTCGGCGGTGCAGAAGTAGTCGTTGTCATGGATGTAGCTGTTGTAGGCAGAGGGCGAGAACGGGTACAGCTGCAAGGTGCCATTGGCGTACACGTGACGGATGTGGGGCACGTCGTAGATGTCGTCGCCAGTGGCCAGGTACCAGCGCAGAATGGCACTGGGGGTGCCCCCTGCTGGACAGGGTAGGGACACCCCCACCGAGCTGGAGTAGGTTACCCTCTGCAGGGAGGCATTCACAAAGTACAGCCGGGTAGAGCCCGCATCCTCACTGTGTACTGAAGGGGCAAACAGAAAACGCAACATCAGGCCCACGTGCGGGTGACAACAATGCCACATTTAAAGGTCGGGAATGTCCTTCAAATTCATTGCAAAATAAATCATAAACATCCAGCTGCAAACATCAGTCATGTGATGCAGAAAGCCAGGGATTTGGGCTAAAGCCTCTGGTGAATAAGGTGGATGGGCAGAGGGAGGAGCCTGCTACCTCCATCCAGTTGTACGCGTACACCAACAAAGAGAGAACACTGATGACAGGTTATGTGATTGGAATTTCTATGCCAGACGCAGATTTAAGTCTTTTTAATCTCCTTACATATTTAACACACACACACACACACAAATAAGGGCGACTATTCGCTGTCACTCTGATGAAACACACAGAGAAAAAGAGTGACAGGGTTGATGGAGAAAGTGGGTGAGAGGTCTGCACAATTTGGGGTCACCATCGTAAAGATTAGATGACAAAAACTAGGCGGAAGCACATCCGGCTGTCTTGATACTATTTTTATGGTTACTGTGATGTATCAGTTCATTGGTTTTTTTGTTGTTTGTTTGTTTGTTTGTTTTTTGGGGGAAATATTTACCTCAAACCACACCTCAATTATTGGGGTCAAAAGTGCACTTTTGGCAGACAATCCCAAATTGTCAAAAGTGCCATATACCGCTTGTTTTGTTTGCAATAATAACATCACTATTCTTACAGTCATGCACTTAAATATAGTATAACAGTGCTTTTATACCAGTCCCTTTCATCTATTCTGGATACATAAAAGTCTGTCTCGACGAGATTAATGTGAGGAACATAAAAGTTGAAGGTAGTTGCCGTAAAAATGTCCGCTCGGTTATGATTTAACCCAAATAACTCCGTGGAAGCTAAAAATGGATGCACTATAACAAAATGGGTTAAACACCTGCTCAACACAAGTGGGTGCTTGTAGATCAACACTGTCGCGTCGCTCGTACGGGGCGACAACCGAGAGCTAACTTTCCCATCTCGGGATGAAGAGTAACAACAAACCACACGAAAAGTACAAGTGCAAATATAAGGAGTGAGAGTGCCCCTAAGCTTGAGATTGCTAAAACTGTGCAGAATGTTACAGATGGTATACAAAATGCGACTGGCAGTCCAGTGGTGATCTGAAAAATCCAGGTCAGACTCCCCCCCCACCCCCCCACTGCAGATTACAGATAATGGCCCCTGAGCATAAAGCCATATTAAAGATTGCAATATCTATAATCTCCCAATGGGGGGAACGGGACTAAAGTAGAGGAGTGCGGGGGTCACCCTGAGAGGTTGGGGGGAAAGAGTGGGCTCTGGTAGTAGATTATATGCCCGGGGGCCTTGGCACACAAGGCTGGGGAGCACTGATGGAGCAGGAAGTGGAACAGCAACAAGATCAGAGCAAACTCCCACCACCGAGTCTGTCACAATCAGGCGTCGCACACACACGCCGACCGCAACAGGGGTCACCGGCTCCAGCTCCTCGAGGGCCATCATTCAGCATGTTTTAGACGCTTGCCTCCTCCAACGCACTTGATTCAAATAATCGGGATCGTTATAAGGCTCCTGCAGAGCTTGCTGATGAGCGGATGGATCATTTGAATCGGGTTTGTTGGAGGAGGGAAACATTTGAAGCAACCCTCGAGGACCACAGCTGGCGACCCCTGCACTACAATCATGCACAACCAAACCAAAAGTAGTTCTGTCACACTGGGAGGAGACCGCGTGTTGTCATGGTGGCGCTGAGACTTGAAAACCGTGTGGAGATTAAAAAAAAAAAAAAAAAAAATGAATCGACCAAAAAAATAATGCAGTTAGCAGCATCCAGATAAAAGGTAACAGTAGCCAAGGAAATAAGCTAAATTTAGATCCCGAGAGTCACCAACCTGCACATTTTGCCAAAGTGTCTCGGATATCTGAATGTTTAATGGGCTTGGCGGGGAAACAGCAGTTCAAGCATCTTGTGAAAGTGTAAACAGCCGTTGGTGGAACGGGATGGGAGGGAGCGTGTCAGGGACATTTCATGACCTTGACATGAACACAGGAGGTCAACAGTGCTCGTGCGAGTTTACCTCGGACACAAGCTGAGCCTGATCTTCTCCATGCATCCATAAGTAAAAGCTTGTGCGTAGCATTTTTTGCATTATATAAAGCAAACCAATGCTTCTGATCAACATTCGAGAAAAAAAAAAGTTATTTTTCTACTCCAGGCATGAAAAAGGCATATGGACTTTTGCCAACAATATGAATTTGGTACATCAGGAGACAGCTGACTTCAGGTGAGTGGCGGGTTACATTCTGGATTGGTCAACAGCCAGGTTACAGGACACAAAAACAAATATTCACAGCTAAGAACAATTTTGAATGTTCAACGAACCCTAAGATGAAAATGCAAGTAATCACAGGAATTTAAATTCGAACCCCCTAATGTTAGGGCTTTGCAAACCACTTGTCCACCGTGCCACACTCCGACATAACTGTACCACATTAATTAAATCCAATTTCAAATTAATTATTTTTAAAAACTAAGGATAAATACCATAATGTAATGGGATCTTTCGTTATCCTACAGTATGTCCCAGCCCTCTCCAAAGTTTTCTTTTTTTTTGTGTGTGTGTAACTTAATTGTCTCACAAACAAACAGAGAGTAAGACAACGGTAACATGTGAAAACACGGAAAATTCCGTACTTATTCAAGCCACGGTACACTACCGCATGGGCTGTCAGAGCTGCAGCCACTATTTTATACATCCTGCCGGAGCGGCGCATGAATATGTATGTTGTCGAGGTAGAAGTCATAACCTATGCAAGGTTTCATCATGCATAATGCAGCTGATCTACGCCTCACCAGGATGTGAGCGTGCACAGGAGTGTGTGCGCGCACACACAACATCCACATAGCCATCATGGGTAGAGGTGGTAAACAATCCCCCGAGCCACCAATGTTTGCACCTTTGCACCCCTGTGCCCAACAGGAGGTGTAATAACGCATGTTTCGCCATTATCTCCATCACTGATCAATTTGACAGCATTCTTTATTAGATTTGGGAAGGGAGAGGGGGGGGGGGGGGGAGTGTCACAACTCGACCAGATTGAGATGTTTCATTGTCATGCGGTTAGACTGCAAAGTGGTGGACACTGAATCAACAGGCAGCGCACTCTATTTTGCATCATGACACGATCAATCGACAAGCCGTGCGGCACAATCAACCAGTCTTTTCAATCCTCAAGGTGCCGCATCGCAACTTAAAAAAAAAAAAAATCTATCAATCCGGTTCGCGACATAATTAGGGTTGGAAATATTGCATTGTTGAAGGAACAATCCCTGAAGTGGGCCGAACGCAACACAATCCTGGTTTCGAAATGCTTGTGAGTTTGGCAGCTGATGCAAATTTTTGGGCTTTGTCGCCACTCAGCCACTTTTCCCCCCCCAGAATTGAGTGGGCGTGTAGCAATCACAAAGTGAGCAGGTAGTTGAATAAGGAGCAGAGAATCGATGTCACAAAGGCGACAAATTCACATCTGAGCATTTTTGCAGGCCTTTGCCTTTCCAAGGTTGTTGCATGCAAACTACAAACTGCATAGATGTCAAACTTGGCCGACTCTACGTTCTGCATAAAACAGTTGGGTATTTTTTTTTTTTTGATGGCGTGGGACCTTCTAGGAGTTAATTAGTCGATTGTTATGCTCATCCCTATTTTACAAACAAACCAAGGTGAATTAAAATGATGCTAAAAGCAGTCGGCGTGCATACAGATAGCGTTTCTTGACAATGAAATCAACTACTGGCCTGGCATTTAAAATGCATCGTTTTGTTTCGTTTGCCAGTCTCTGTGCACTCCATATCATTTGGATGACAGAAAATGGGAAAACTAACTTCCGATTGTGTGGTTTTGACAAATGGGGTGCAAGACCAAGGCTGTGGATAATGTGTAGAAAACCGAAACGGAGGAGGGCAAAGTGGACAGAGACTCTGTCAGGAGGGGTGTGAATTGAATATTGGGGGATGTCAAGAAATAAAGGTAGGTGTAAGCTTGGAGATAATCCTCAAGGGTCTCGTGTAAGTAGGTGGAGGGTGGGAGGAGAAGTAGGAGGGGGATGAGGTTGGGGCTACATCTAATCAACGGAGGGATATCACAGTTCCCACCTACTGTCTTTCTGCACACCCTGTCCCCAACAATCTGCTACCCCCCCCCCAACAACATCACCCCACCAAGCAACCCCAGGCCTGTGCTGGGTCAGG